ATCTCTAAAGGTAACAACATAACAAACTCTCAAACCACTTATTAGTTACAACTATGAGCATAACAAACTTCTAAATAATAACCACTGACCATGTTCATCCTCAATTTTCCTGTAACCTTTGGAACTATAACGAGTATAGCTACTTGTTCAAAACTATCCACAAAATTAATTTGCACAATATATAGTAATCCAAGTAACTCTATTTATGTGATCAATATAGAAAAACATGGAAAAATATTATAATTTAAATTAGTTCCACAAATACATGTGGATGTGCAGGAAACCATCTACATGACAGCAAAAAAAACCTTTGGAAAAACTAGGCTTGTCATAACAAATCAATTCCAAAAATCAATAAAACTTGGCAACTGGAATATGTGAAATCCCACGTTATAAACAAAGCCCAACTAGTCTATACCAACGGAGGGTGCTATCCAAAAAACCCAAAGCAATTCAGCCAAAGCTGCAAAGGTTCCAATCCTTCATACCCAAAAGTACTTTATTTCTTTTGTCAATCACATGAAGTTAGCTAACGTGATCTAAATCAGAATAGGATATAAGCATAAAGGACATAGTCAACTCAAATGGAATACAAAGCTAAAATTATAACCCCTCAAATGAGACGAAGTTCGATATTATTTAACCGTCAGTAGAGTAAACTGGTACACGAACTCAATATTGACAAGTACAAGAACTTATACTTACTAGAGAATTACTCCAATTAAGAAAAACACGCAGTTGTCATGCACAATGATGGTAAGGCATCAAATCTCCTATCTTTAGGGAGAGGGTCTCTTAATCTATAACTTAGAACATATCACTAAACATTTCTTATCGAATTTACCACTCGGAATGCAGGAGGTGGCCCCCATGGAAACCCCTCCTCAGTGAGAATTTATGCAACACACAGAGATCTAAAGAATTTCCGGCCAAAAAAAAGGTGAACGAAAAGAGATCAAATACAATGTGAGTAAGTTCCAATTTAGATCAACCTAAATCCGCAATCTCTCCCCCCGAAAATATAAAACTTTAAGATGAATTCCACTAAATAAATCATAAATTCTAAAATTAAGTTCATCAATCACTAACTCCCGCTATCCACTCAACTACTTAAAACACACATTTGAACAAGCTGATGCAAAAATTATCATCAATCCTAATGCAAACAATGAAATCCCAACTTCCGGTCACTGAACAACGCCAAATCAAACCGAATTCACGAAAGAGCGAGTCGGATCTGAGTTTCCGAAAACTTACGTCTCGGAATTGGAGGAGGCCGAGTTCGCCAAGGTAAGAAATGGCGCGGTGGGCGGACTCGACGGGGATGATGAGCTGGACGAAGGTCATCTTCTCGGAGCGCATCAGATCCATGGCTGGTAAGTTGTCGATGAACTTCTCCATTTTCTCGGCAACCAAACAGAAAAGTCCTCTGCTTTTCGTTTCCTTTTGCCTCTGGATCTGAAACTCTTCGTTTGGATCTGAAATTCCCCTTCCCTCTCTCTCTCCTCAATCTCTCTCTCTCTCTCTCTCTCTCTCTCTTCTGGTTGTGATCTGAGAGAGTGCGTTTTGGAGTGCGTTATTCGGAGGCTTTCATTTGCGGGTTTTCGCTTTTTTTCTTGGCAACTGCCATTAGAATCGGAGAATTCGCATCACTTTCCAATGCCCCGACGTGGACTTGAAAATATGGTTGGAAATTTAAGGAAAGATTTGTTTTAATAAAGAATCATATTTTTACATTAAAATTTTAATTTTTGTATTTTTATTGTATTACTATCATTAAAATTCAAAATTTTTCAATCATTTTTATTAGTTTTTCTAAAATTTTTTAGTTAAACCGTTTACCTTTTGTGTACATTAAAAGAAAATGGTATACTGATAATTTAGTCTCTGAATTATCCCCTGAATGAAAATTAGATCCTTAAACTATTTTTTCAGAAAAATTAGTTCTTGAATTATAAAAATCTGCTAATTACATCCCTAATATTATATTCGAAGCTATTATATTCAGTTTTCTGTCAATTTAAGTCACGTTACTTGCATGTGTACACATTGAAGGGTAAATTGGTAATTTTTCATAAAGAAATAGTGTATGGAGTTAACTTTAAAGAATAAATTAGACATTAGATTCACAATGAATGTTAAGGGGTTAGAGACGAGAAAATGACGATATTACACTTTAAAGTATGTTAATTGACTTGAGTTGATAAAAATTGTATAAAAGATCTTTGAATATAGTAGTAGAAATGATATTAGCAATTTTTTATGAATTTGAGGACTTATTTTACCAAAAATTAATTCAATTACCTAATTTTCATTGAAATGATAATTCAGATATTAAGTCGACATTTCACCCTTAAAAAATAATGTAGAAAAGTTTGGTTATATTATTTATGTAATAAATACAATTTAAAATAAAGAGTTTTAAGGTTGGCGGTGGGAGCCACGGTGGCTAAACTGCGGTCCTGGTCTGCCATCCCGAACTTTCATAATGGCTAGTAGAAATCAAGGATTAGCATTGAAAGTGTACTAAATTTAAAAGTTTATTCATACTTCAACGCCTTGCGGTTGACAACCTTCAATGCTACTAACTCGGCTTAGGGCTCATTTGAATAATGTTTTTCAATGACTGAAAACATTTTGAATGAAAACATTTTTTAAATTAATCATTAATAAAATGCAAGTTATTTCTAGAAATACACTAGAAGTGCTTATGTGATAAAAAAAAATAGAAATTAAGTCAATGTGATGAACTTTGTTAGGATTTAAGCCCAAAATTGAAAATTCTGGCAACTCTTCATTAATTATTAGCATGTGAACCATATTGGCGAAGCCAAAATTTCAAGGTCCTCCCACAAATGTAAAAAATAAAAAAAGATGCAACACCACCTATAACGCTATATCTACAACGACATTGCAACATACTCGCTCATCCAACTCTCAGCCATTGTCTGGTCATTGTGTCATCCATCATCGAAATCCATCATTGATCCCTCTTTTCTCTCAATCTCTCACAGTTGTGCTCTCTCTAGATTATTTGTCTGATTCTGATATTTGTTTGTTCGGTTACAACGGTGTTGATTTTTCAATTCCACCCCATTTCCTCAGTACGTTCCGACCAGTTGGGAGACGTGTTAATTGGCGAAGGAAAGAACCTAATAGAAAGAGCTAACGAGAACATGAAAATCACGCATGGATAGAACTTAGAAGCATAATTCAAGCTTGTCAAAAACCACTAGCACCATGTGAAAAAGTTTAAACTCTAAGAGAACTAGCTCTCTCGCCTACTTCTTCTCTCCCCTCTGGTTAGGCCCTAATCTTCATAAAAATCTTTGGAAATTAGAGGGATAACTATAGTTTTTCTTCATGAAACAAAACGTGAGTCGCACATGTTAGGCTACAAGTTGCCTCACATGTGAGCGTACTACCAATTAATGAAGAGTTGACAAAATTTTCAATGTTCGCTTAAATCCTAACATGTTTCACCACAGGAACTTAAATCCTAATTTTTTTTACCACATAAACTCTCTTTCGACTACCCTATAACTGCATGAACTATTTATCTAATTAAGCATTTATATTAACCTCTCACCATCCTTTTCTTGGCTACATACTTTGGAATTTGAAAATCATTAACCCAAACATTAGGGTAAATTACATTTTCATACCTCAGGTTTGGGGTCTATTTCAATTCCTTATAACATCTTCAAAACATTTCACTTTCATACCTTAAATACTATTTTATTTCAAAATAATACATCCGTTACATTTTTCATCCATTGATCTGTTAAATGCTGACGTGGCGCCACATTTATGCCACGCGGCTGCCAAATGTCTGCCACGTGGCAAAAAAAAAAATTAAAAATTAAAAAAAAAAAAATTGAAACCCACAATCTACAAGAAGAAGAAGAAGAAGAAGAAGAAGAGGGAGGAAGAAAGAAAAAAAAAATTGAAACTATCCCTCCCCCCCCCCCCCCAAAAAGCGACCCACGTATGTAAGAAGAAGAAGAAGACAATCTGCAAGAAGAAGAAGAAGAAGAAGAAGAAAAAGAGGGATGAAGAAAGAAAGAAAAAAATTGAAACTATCCCCCGCCCCAGCGACCCACGTATGCAAGAAAAAGAGGAGGAAGAAGAAGAACCCAAGCCCAGAACCCTTCAATCCCCCACCCCCCCCCCCACCTCGACCCCGCTCCCTTCCCTCCCCGCGACCCTCCTCCGTGATCTAGTGATTTTCAGTGTTGGTGAGTTTTGAAAATACTTTGAGTTTGAGATGATTTTTGGACTAGTTTTGTGGTAGATCCATGTAACCTTGGGTGGGATTTATGGGGTGGGTGATGGGAGATTTTTGGGAGGGGTGGCTTGGGTGGGATTTTGGGGTTTTTTTCTTTCTTTCTTCCTCCCTCTTCTTCTTCTTCTTGTTCTTGTTCTTGTTCTTGCAGATGTGGGTCGCTGTAGGGGGCGAAAGGGATTGTGGGTTTCCATTATTATTATTATTATTATTTTGAGAAAATTCAGGTTTTTTTAAAAAAAAATTATTTTATTTGCCACATGGCAGACATTTGGCAGCCGCGTGACATATATGTGGCAGCTACGTCAGCATTAACGGATCAATGGATAGAAAATGTAACGGATGTATTATTTTGAAATAAACTAGTAGTTAAGGTATGAAAGTGAAATGTTTTAAAGATGTTGTAATGAATTGAAACAGATCCTAAACCTGAGGTATGAAAATATAATTTATCCCAAACATTACCATTAAAACGAACCAACCGTTCCATTGTGTGCGATAAAAATGTGGACCTACAACCGACTCAGACCGGACTGGACCGGACCGCATAACACAATAAGACGTGAAAAATTAATCGGGTAAATTCCAGTACTCTCTCTACTTCAACACAAACTAAACAAAAAATGGCAGGTGATGGTAGGGGTATATTAGTATTTTTATATTAAATTTTAGTTATAATTATCATAAAATTAAATAGTGACTATAAAATTGCTTATATTTTCAAATTCGCAGGCCTCGGCGTGGCACTGCCTAGCTCGTCTACCAGATCGATCGGAGTCGCTTTCCTTGTGTCCGTACGAAGATTCGAGCGCGCGAGAGCTTCTTCTTCTCAATCACGACCGTTTATCTCTTCAAATCACTCTGTAAGTTTCTCCCTTCTCTCCTCCTCTCGTTCTTTTCGACTTCTTCGCTCGCATCAATGGTGGCACCACCAATCCCTGAATTGTTACACTTATGATCTCAAAAAATGTTTAAAGAATTCGAGAAATTGAAGAAAATATGAAAATTGGATTGTGTTTTTGGTTTTGCTTGAAATTGATTGATAATTTGTTTACCCCAAGCTGTTTGTGATGTGGGTAATTTCTCTAGGTTAGGTTTGGGTTTGTAGTAAAAAGGGTTTTAGTGACGACCGTGAGTCAATGGGATTTGTTTTGGGTGAAGTTGGTCTCATGGGGTTGTGGGCTTTTTGTTGATTTTACTTGGTGAAATGCTATAGACAAGTAAGTAGGGTTTAGGCTATGTTATGCTCCTAGTTTTCAACCTTTTTTTCGGATCCTGAGAATCGAAAGAACTGTATGTTAATACTGGAATTTGATTTTGTTTATATGAGTTGACTTACGAATTGCGAATCCTGGGTTTCATTGTTTCTTTTCTGCTGAGTTGTTTTTTGTGAATAGAGAATAGCAGTGTAAAAGGAGCATCTGATGCCCGAAATTAGTAGCAAAATCCGGGAAAGGCGATGGTGTTTGTTTACTTGGTAACAAAGAAATTGGCCTGATCCAATTTAGGGCAGGCTACTATTTGGGAATGTTGTGCCTTCATTTGTCACTGAGGAAATCCGTCGATTTTCTTTTTAGTAACAAAGGATATGTTGGTATGTTTGCTACCATTCGTATGCAAAGAACAATGGATTGGTGCATTGGATCTTTTGGTTGTGGGTTGAATGCAGTTTGTGCGGGAAGTTGAATTTGGGAAAATATAAGTGTTTGTGAGTATGTCCTTGTTTTGATTAAGTTTTAGTGTTTCAAGATTTAGTATTTTGTTGCCAAGGACGGTTTTTATGAGGTTAGACTTGGCACAGGGTGTTCGTGGTCTTACTATCCCATTATTATTACTTCTATTTCTGAGGATTGCTTTCGTTATTTGATACTATGTTTCGCAAGTACTGAATCGTTGCTTTCTATGTATCGCCGAATTTGGTTTCTGGTGATTGGTTGATCAGGAATACACAATCGATATCTACCAAATGGGAAAACCCAATCCTGATGAAAAGATTCTTAGCTACAATGATGTTGTACTCAGACGATCAGACTTGGATATCCTCAGTGGCCCGTATTTTCTCAATGATCGACTCATCGAGTTTTATTTCAGTTATCTGTCATCATGCTCTGAGGAGATATTACTCATTCCACCTTCAATTGCATTCTGGATGATGAATGCAGTTGGTCAAGGCCTCCACGAGTTCCTGGTACCTCTTAATTTGCCGGATAAAAAACTGGTAATCTTTCCAGTCAATGACAATGAGGATGTGAGTGAAGCTGGAGGTGGGTCTCACTGGAGCCTACTTGCATTTGAGAGAGATTCTAACGTCTTTGTTCATCATGATAGCAATGGAGGGATGAATAGAAGGCACGCTAAAAAACTGTATGATGCGGTTGTTGACTTCATGAGTGTCTCCAGTTCAGCAACCAAGCCCACTTATCAAGAGTGTAGTGATTCACCGCAACAAGTAAACGGTTATGATTGTGGCTTGTATGTGTTGGCTATTGCAAGGGTTATATGCAGCTGGTACGGAAATAAAGACACAGGTGAACGGAATTTGTGGTTCCATGATGTGCGCGAGCAGGTCACTCCATCTGTTGTTGCTGCAATGCGAAACGAGATCCTGGAGCTGATCAGAGGTCTCATGCTCGTGAAGTGAAGTTTGCCTACAAAGTGAGAGTCGAAGGGGAGAGCGTAATCTTATCCACAGACAAAGTTTACCATTTTGTTTTAGGTAAAAACAAAGTTTAGCTTTCACTGTCTCGGGTTCTTGACACATATAGAACCATAGATCATTCTGCTTGCTACAAGATGTTTGTAGAAATCTTCCTTATCTTTTTTTCGCTGTGGGATGTTTGTGGAAATCTTCGAACATGCCCACTTCTTCCGGCCATTGGTTGTGAAATTGAACCCCAACATCCTCCTCCTCCTCCTCCTCCTCATCTGCTTTGTACTGGTCCTGGTGATCATCGAATTCTTTATGCTGTGGGATGTTTGGTAAAGACAAAGTTTATCCCAGCAAGTCCCATCATATGAAATGGGTTCAATAAGAACAGTTTATTATTTAATAGGGAAATAATAAATTAAGTTACTAAATTGTGTTCTGTTTTCTGAGTTAGTCTTTATAAAGGCAATAAGTTATTTAGTTTAATAGATAATTTTTTTTCCCTTTTTTGAACAAACGCTATTATCTGCACTAACAAGAAGATGTAGGTTAAACTTTACAATGGGCTAATAATAATAAGGTTCAAATTTGCCTTAGCGAGAATCGAATTTCTGCTCTCATTTACAAGTGAAAAGGAAATTCATTTTCTAATTATCATGTTAACGTGATCAATGCCTCGGCACGTTTCACAGATAAAATGAATCCTAAATTGTTTTTTCACAAGGAATGCATATTTATTCGATTGTACTGGAACATAATGCAATCCTGGTTTTTTCGCTTTAATTAACTTACTTTCCCAAATTTGCAAACAGATTTCAGCAGAATACATCTAGCAATTGCAAGTGACATGTAGCTCAATCGGTTAAGAGCATTCGCCCTTGCACTTCAATTGGTGTAAACGTCATGCGGTTGATATTCACTATAACGAAATGAGAAGAAAATGACATTGAGGTGCGTTCCACACGAATGACATAAATATTTGTAGGGAAATTACATCAAACTGCGTTGAGGTTTTAAGAAAATTATATGGAACTTCTTACCGTTTCCAAAAACTACACGAACCTTTTACGACAACGTATATTTTAGCAGTTACAATAACATTTTCAAAACATTGATGCATATGATCAATTATATTGAACATGACAAGTTTTCAACTTAATAGTATTGTACTACTGCACTGACGAAAACAATGAAATGGATGTTTCTTATAATAGTAGGTGCCGCCTTCAAATGATCGGTATGAAAAAGAATAGTGAAGATCAAACCATCTAGTAGCCAGTTCCCTGCGAAGTTTCCCTCAGCTTGAGCTCGTGAACAAGTTTCATGGGGTAAAGCCAATGATTAGAGGTATGTAGGCAGTTCCGGTTTTGTTTTTATTGTGACTTTGTGGTGCTACTAAAGCTTGATGGAATTCAAACTTGTGTATAATATGTATGATAGATTCACTAGTTTCTTACACATTTGTAGGTCAGTCGGTCATGTCATGCTTGTATCCATCGGGTAACTCCCTAGCACCCGCAAGAATGTTGCAAACTCCTGCCAAGAAAATGTATATTGGTTAAGATTTATTTCCTTCGTAGGTTAACGAAATTGTTCAACTAAAAGCTAAAACCCCCCTAAACATAAGAAAAGAAAAAGAAAAACAACGAAAACCTTGAGATGCCGAAGGGCATTTTGTGCATTCTGATCAGCCATTGATGCTTCAAAATCCACATAAAAAAGATAGTCAAAGTACCTGTACGAAAATATGGGACGTGATCAGGAAAATATAGAAAAGGTTAAACTAGACAACTCTTAAGTAGATCAAACAGTTATGAATTGGCGCCAAAATCAAATTGGGGGAGGGAATTAACGCCTGTCAATCATATTCATGCCGTAGAGTGTGTGAGCGTGTGTTTCATTAACATGGAAGTATAATTTAGTTGAGATGGTTACTGTATTTACTTTGGAGATCCACCGTTACTATCATCAGACGCTCGCAGGGGCTGCATCCGCAAAGGACGGCTTTCAATCTGGTTAACAAAACAAATTAAGCAATCATTAGGTGCAACACACTTGCAAAAGAAACTACACAAAAGACACAGGGAAAAGAAAAACCCCAAGAACTACCTTTGTAAGATTGATTTGACGCAAAGCGAAAACAGCCAGAGCTTTGAAAAGGACCCCAGGGCCTTCCTCTAGTGAGAAGACTATACTTGTCTAAAATTCCATAACCATGCGATCAACAAAATAAAAAAGTCAGTTCACAAAAAGGTGGTCTGGCCACCGTGAACTGGATTACCAATGAATTCAACAATTCAACAGCCAAAACTTGTTAATCTTAAAAGGGCTTAACCTTGAATGGCCTATCTGTGCCAGGAATAATTGGTTCTCTAGCAAGCATGAGAAACCGAGTAACATTGTCAGAATCATCCTGTAAATTTCAAATAAGTTACCACTAGAGTGAAGTCTAATTCAGGAAAACACCAGATGTTCTTTGAGACAAACCTGAATATCATGCGCAAGTATTTGCAGACCATATATGCCTGCAGCAGCTGAGCTGGCAACAGCTCCTGTATCTTTCAGTTTGTGGAGAGCAACATGCTACAATTTATAGAATGCACCATCAACCAGATCAATATAAAAGCCAGCATAGTTAATCTAAAATTTGATTAAGATGATTGTAGTTTGATCTATAGCGTCAAATCATGCAACCGACGCCAACCGTATTGGACCAGAAGGCCCCTCTCAGCCGAAAGTTATGAAAGTGGCTCCACATAAAAGATGCCACAAATTATAGTTTCAGCGAAGAAAAAAATGAAAAACTGTGGTAGCAGCTTCTGGCCAAATCACTTCGTTTCACTTCACTAAATATACTGTTCTAGTTTAGAATATAAAATGTGATGTTCTATTCTATAGCTTATATATGTAAGTCCGCATTCTTCAGGGAGTTGGTAACAAAAGCAAATCCTACAGGCATATCATGACGCATGAGGTATACTTGGCGTCAGGACTTACTGGAGTAGAGAATCAGCTATCCAACTATCTGATCAAGGGCTTACCTTTGCTGCACCAGCAGTATCATCCACAGCTTCTCTGACCAATCCCAGCTTCATTAACGTGTTCTCACACTGATCAAGAGCCTGAAATATGACTAGTTATGGGGGAGAACCATGATAATATACTAGATGGCCAGAGAATCTAGATGGAATGTTTTATACACCTGTGGATGACTAAGAACCCTTTCCAGGTCTTCAATTTCAACACCATGGTTAGCCAGTAAGCAATGGCGAACTGCAAGTTTCACTTCCCCTACTATATGCAACCTGTGCCTGAGTAAAAGGTCATAGTTTCTATGGATGCTTCCACCTAATGAATTCTCAATTGGTAAGACTGCTCTGTCCACAAGCCAACGTTCAGCAGCCTGCATTGAGTTTAATTGAAAAGAAATTACGAAGCAAAAGATTGAAGAGTCCAGGCTGAAAATACAGAGCGATTACTAGGCCCTGTTTGGTAATCAACTTGATTCCAACTTTTTAAAATCATGTTATTCAATTACTTCTCACAAAATCATGCCCCTAAAGAAAACCATTTTGCCTGTAGCTCGACTTAGCAAGGTCCAATGGCTTCAGGTTAACGAAAAAAAATGCATAACAAGGATCACATCCATAAGATTTTATAAATGTAATTTCTCTTAATAATATGTAAGTGAGAGCCTTGTGATCATTTTATTTCCATAATCCAAGTCTGTCTTATTCATTAACAAATATTGCAAACATAAAAAGAATGTAATACTGCTGATTCACAGTTTAATCCAGCAATAAGAAAAACAATGGTGATGAAGAAAATTGAGGTATGCACCTCAAAAGCGGTATCGAATTGTTCACAAGGCACTGCTTCGCAATTTGGATACGCTTTCTCCGCAGCTAATTCACTGTATGCTCCACGAACCCCCTAAAATTTCAACATTCAACAATCTCAAAACAATTGAATTACTTTCATTCTCATACCAATTCCAGACTCATATTACCAAAGCCAAAAATTAGCATTATCCAAATTATTTACACATATATACACTAAAAAACGATCTACTGAGAACCTGAATTGAAGATTCTCAAGTGCAGCCCAGATGATGACCCTCATCTAAATCAACCACTCAGATCAGATTTAACAAAAGCCTTAAGTAAGGATATATTTCTCAGCTATTTAGATCAAATCTAGATTCTAGATAGTTAATAGGCACAATAGGTGAGACTTCAGCCGTCCATATTTGCCAATAAACGAGAAGCAAGTTTTAGCTCAAATTGGACACCGCTACCAATCTAACTTTTCCTATCTAGATACAACAACAACAATAACAAAGCCTTATCCCACCAAGTGGGGTCGGCTGTATGAATCCAAGAATGCCATTGCGCTCGGTTTTGTGCCACATCTTCCATTAGATCCAAGTACTACAAGTCTTTTCTTAGAGTCTCTTTCAAAGTCTTCCTAGGTCTTCCTCTACCCCTTTGGCCTTGAACTTCTGTCTTGCAATGGCATCTTTTAACCAGACCACCTTAACAATTTTCTCTCATCTTTCCTTCAATCTCGACTACTCCTACTTTACCTCGAATATCCTCATTCCTAATCCTATCATTTCTCGTGTGCCCTCACATCCAACGAAGCATACTCATCTCCGCTACACTCATTTTATGTACGTGTTGATGCTTCACCACCCAAGATTCCGTTCTATAAAGCATTGCTGGCCGTCTTATAAAATTTTACCTTAAGCTTTAGTGGCATACGACGGCCTTATTGCCATCCTATCTAGATAACAAAATAAAAAGTTACTAAATAACAATTTTCATACACATTTAGATAAGATAGCTCATCATCTCCAATTACAGTAAAATTGGCGCACAAGGGCGATATAAGAAGAATGCTCAGCCAAAGCTTGGTTTCTAATAAAACCAACCAAATAAAAGCAACTGATAAGTATAAAGCTACTTTTACACAGGTGCACTTTGTAAATTTTATCAACATATACATACACAAAATACACATCTATATACTATATATAATGCAATCATGATATTTTACCCATCCATAAATATCAATATCCATTTTTTGTTCATCAAACTTTAATTGTTTTACTTTTTATAAGAAACCCAATTGTCAAAATTTGAATATCAGTTGTTCAAACTAACCAACTTAACTAACTTTCAAAGGGGAAAAAAAGTTGGGTCCTTTCAGTTTGAAATTGAATGCTTGTTTCATATATATATAGAGCTACCTGATATGCAACGCGAAGGCGGGAGCCATCAGAGACCGAATTGGAGAGATGGTTCGAAGACAAAGGTCCTGAATCAAGCAACAAACGAAATAAAAAAATATGACACCCGATTTCCACCAAATTACAGAGCATGGACAACAATGACAACGGGAAGAAATTGGTACTCGGGAGAGTGTGCATGTCTTTTGATTCGACGTCGTAAGGGAAGTCCTCCAAGGCGCTCTCCAATTCCATAGCGCCTCCAACCAGGTTTCTGTGACCACCGCCGTAATTTCTGTTACTGGTGCTTTCGTCTGATGAGCGAAGAGAAGCCAGGGCCAGGCCTATACGACAGCGTCTGGAGCGGATTTCGAAGTTCAAAGTTGGTTTGGGGAAGTGATCGGAAGGGAAGCGCTTCGATACGACGTGTCGTGGGAAAGGGGTTGTGGCGATCCCGGATCGTTCCACCGAAGACGCCGCCATGGCGCGACGATTGGGAAGGTTCTGATGGCGCCTGAGATACTTTCCGAGATTTTTTAAAGACGGTCAAATTTGTTAGCTAATATAATATCCGAGATCCCGTTATTCTTTTTTAAAATTCAAGAAAAAATATTGGGCTTGGAGTGTTATGGGCTAAGGATTCTCAAAGCCCAAAAAATCAAATGGACTGTGCCCAACTGCCCATACCGAATGAACGGGCCTAATCAAACCGGATTATTTACGGTTCAAGTTAGTTCGGCTTCGACTGTATATTCTTTGAACCAAACGGGACCGGTAAAGACTGTCACTTAGTATTACAATATAGTGATATTTCTCTTTATTTTAGAAAAAATTACAAATATATTAGTTCAAATCTCATGAATTACAAGTTTAAACTATTTATATTCTCCAGTGTAAATATATTGTTGTAAAAAATAAACAAATAAAAACACCGAACCGATAAGCACTACATTTCAATTTTCTTTGAGTAAACCTTTTCTTTTATGACTTAAGGCTAATAAAAATGGAGATTATGTGTGGGACTCACTCCACATTGAACTTTAACGATTCGAATCATTTATTTTGTAAGTTTCGAAACTAGTTAGGAATGGGCGCCACTATCCCAACCCGGATCCAGCCAAGTTCTATTGATCATGTCCCATTCACCACAGTTGTACCCTGATGTTATACATGGGTCGACGTTGTAATTTTTTGAAGCGCTTTTTTTTAGACAATTCTATGATAATTTTCTTTTTTGCAAATTATTTTATTTTCAGGTTAAATAGAGAAATAAGGGCTGAATTCATTCAAAAGAGCAAAAAATAAATAATTCAAAAGGCTTTATTAGTGAATGATTTATAGTTGTGTGTAACACTTGATTTCTCACTAGAACAAAAATACATGTTACAACCGCTAACATCATTCACGGTGGTGGATTCAAGATTGTAACATCAGATTATCCTAATATAGAAATTCTAAATAAATTAGATGAAAATAACTTGAAAAAATTAAATGATAAACAACAAGTTTTTATTCATAATCTTTGTGCAGACAACATACAAGCTACAAAGGTAAATTTGTCCACGATGAGATTTCATACTCTGAAAATGTATCAAGACAGTTTCATTGTCAATACAAGAAAAAACATATTTATATGTGTAAACAATTAAGCTATCATTTAACCATTGATCCTCTATTTTGTTGGGGAGTGGACACTTAATGATATTAATGACAAAAAATGCTCTTTCTACTGACGGTGTTGCAATTGGTAAAATCAAAGCTAATTTAATAAGGAAATACACATATTGAAATACTCGATGCAACCCCTTTTCACTTTTTTTTTTTTTTTTTTTTGGAAGATCACTAATCTTTTGCAATTTAGAAAAATCAGTTCGATTGGGTGGGGAGCGATGATAGCCAATTAGGAAATTGGAATATGGTAAAGTGAAATGAGATTGGGTTGGATGAGTTGAGGTCTGAACCTTTAAAGTCTTCTAGGATTTAATCTTTACGAAAACTAATGAAGTATCAGGTTTGACTTTGTAGTGTAAAAATGTGGTTTTTCGTTAAAATAAACAGTACCGTAGGCTTTTCGTTAAAACTCACTTAATTTTTTCTTCAAATTGTTTGAATAAAAAATGTGAGTTGGACTGAAGGTGCCAAGTCATTTAATTCCTGATTTCAAATCTCTTTTGTGCTGCACGTGTATTTAAATTTTTTTAAGGGGCATTTAGACTTATTATTTTTTCATTATAACCGGGATGCTTTTATAAATCTAGTTTTAGTCCCTAACTTTAAAACTCATTATCAATCATATTAAATACCCCCTGCCCACTTTTATTATTTTCAAATTTTCTTTCTAAAATTCCTAACTTAATCATCAATTAGGCCTTAAAAATAGGAATTTTTATTTCTACAAATCAAATTTAGCGATTTAAAACGGAAAACTTTTTTTTGTTTGTTAAAAAAAAAAATGAAAGACTTTTTAAAATATTTTTCTAATGAGAATTAAACTATATAAAAATTTATATAGACAATCACAAAACCAAACAAATAAACTAATATGCAGACACAATAAACAATATACATAATAAAGGTACATGAATATATATATATATAGGTGCGTATATATAGGTACACATATATACATAAGTTCATATGTATAGGTGCAGAAATGTATATATAGGTGCATATATATAGGTACACATATATACATAAGTTTATATGTATAGGTACACAAATGTATATATATATATATATATATATATATCGGTACATGAATATATATTTATGTACATATGGATAGGTACACAAATTTTGTATTAATTTATATACATGCATATAAACATATATGCATTGTTACCACTTAAGCAATTTTTTACCCATATTGAATACACATTAAGTAAAAATCTTTAATTTATAATAGTAAAAATAAAACTAAACTAAAGTTAATAATTATTAGCTAGATTTTAGGTGATATATAAACTCAAAGGACCAAAATCAGTATTTAATCTTACACCTAACTTTAATGAAATATATATCTTATTTAGGGACTATAATCTAATTTCCTATTTTTTTAATGGCTTGCCCAAAACGACATCTTTTGGCAAGTCAGGAAAAAAATCAATTTTTTTTTCCTTCTGTAGAACTGCCTACAAAACCTCAGCAGCCATTGTTGCTCTTTCTCCCCCACCACTGCTTGGACGTGGGTAGTTCTCCAACGTCTTCACAACCATTTTTCGAACTTTCGGTCCCAATACCACCCAGGTCCCTTACGAGCAATTCCACCGTGTGCTCCAGCTCGAGGGACATGCACAGGAACAGGACCACATAGCTCGAGTGATGAAGCCCAGCATGCGCTGGCGAGCGAGCCCGAGCAGGCTCGAGGAAGACGCCCGGTTATTCGTTCCGACCTGAGCGCCCGAAGGGGATGTGATGTGGGCTGACGTTAGGGTGACGTCAACCACAATATAAAATATTAATAAAAAATTTTAAAAAATGAAAACCTAGTAGGCTTCGAACTCAACGGCTCTTGTCGGAGTTTGTTGCTGAGGGTGATAATACACCCACAAACAAATGGCTGAGACTAAACCCAAGGGTTTCAACTCGAAACACATCAAAAACCAGAGAATAACTCAAGCAATCGAAGTAGGGCAATAACCTCATATAGGTTTTAGCAATGGAAGCTTAAAGCTCTCGGCTTCAATGGTGGATCACCCAAATGATGCTCTGATGATGCATGCAAGGATATATTCAAGTTCCTCTCATCCAGGGGATTGAGATTTCAGAATTTGTTAGTTTGATTTGCTTCGGTTTCGAAGAAGAGGAAGGATGAGAGCTCTCGGAGCTGTAGAAAGAGAATGAGAGAGATTAAAGAGAGAAAGGTTTCAAAAATGAGGGGGAATGGTTGCGTCGATAAAAAGAGATAGAGAGAAAGTGTAAGGGAAATGAAAGAGAGGGCTAGGTGAGGTGAGGGAACCAGTCAAATGAAGAGTGTTCTGGAAAAATATAAGAGTGTTCTAGAAAAAAAAAATGAAAAGGAAAAGGAATAGGAAAATGGAAAAAAATTAAAAAATTATTTTGTATTATTTTATAAATAAAAAATGCTAATATTTTATTGTTAATTGTCAGGGTTATTCAGTGTAGGAGTGGAGATGCAAAAGACAATTACTGTTCATTAAGGGCAATTATTGTTCACTAGGTGGATTAAATAGTGGATAGCCCTAAGGGGCCTTAGACATGGTGGAACTGCTCTAATAAATCTGCCTCTGGTCATTCAGAACAAAAGCTATCAGAGGACATATCTATATTCTTGTTCCAAACATGTCAATAACTCTAAAGAGGGTGGTGGTCTATTAACCCAACATTGACTAGCATGCTTCTGAGAATGATTTTTCTTTGATAAGTAGGCGAGATTTTTGTCAACAACTCTAATCAAAGATTTGCAAAATCTCAATACCTTGTTTATTTTGTTATGTCTCATTACGGTATTGTATTATGGTGTGGTTATGTTGACCCTAAAAACTATCAAGCCTACATGGCGCGCAGGCCGAGTAACTAATAAGCTAACTACATCGTTCGATTATGTGCGGGACGTACCAACTCGACAGTTGAGCTCGACCGGTGAGTAAAATGTGTTGATGTTGCATTGAGCACATTGCTAACCTCTGGATCTTGCGACTGCGGCCGAGGAAGAAACAAGTCTCGGCCTTTGGGTTCTAGGGCCCAAAGACAAGGCTGTTAGTCTTGCGAAGTTCACGAATCGTCGACGCCGGGTTCGATCATGGTGATTACATTCGTAAGAGTATAAGCACGATGAACCAGCACCAAACTATACGAACACAAGTACTCGAATGAGATGTATGTCTTGATGGTGAATGTGGTTCGGCCATCAAAATGTTGAACTCTAAAAGATACTTGTGAATATCCAATCATTAAACAACTCGGTGTTCAACGTGCCAAGCCTAGTCACCTATAATACCTCACTTCGCCGAGAAGGCTAATGAGATGACCTTTACCAACAAGGACTCAAAAACCCTTGTGGACTGAGACTTGGATAAATAACCAGTCGGTCTCAAAGCAGTGTTGTTTATCCAAACTGAAGGTGCTTCTTGATCGGCTGATTCTACGGCTCCAGTACTGTTTATCCAAACTGAAGATGTCGTCGGGTTCCTTCACTGTGTTGTTTATCCAAACTAAAGATGTATTGGCAGAAGAAAGGGGAAAAGGATAAAATCTCAGGTTGTTGAGAAGCTTTGCGCAGGGCAATTTGTGTGTTGAATTGGAGGGGCCTTGAATGATGTACTCCATTCTTTATTTATAGTAGCAAACCTCCTCATGGCCGAGCAAGAATCATACTCGAATTAGAACTCCTCAACCTAATCTGATTAGGTCTCGGCCAATCCTAACTTCACTAGGACTTTGAACCAAGCTCTTTAACAAACTAGATTCATCCCCTAATTCTCAACATCCTCAGTCTTAGCCTTAAGACTCTTTGTTGCATTAGGTTTCGACTATATCACCCTTATCTAAACCAATCCTCCTCGCAAGAGGATTCGACCAACCCT